CTGGGTCCTTCCTCCTGAGCATGGTCCGAGCTGCCTGTTTGTTTGGGGAGCCCTAAGCCTTAGGGGTGGCCAAGAGGTGGCTGTTTGCAGGGGAGGGTACAGAGTTTATGCACACAGGCTGGAGTGTCCACACCTGAGCACACAAAACCCTCTCACCGCAAAGGATGGAAAGAAAGAGCGGCGAGTGGGAAGCTTCAGGCGGGTCACCTCTCTCCCCGCTGTCACTTCCTGCGTGGAGCCCAGACCTCTAAATACAAACCCAGCCTTCCCAGTGTGCTTGTCCTTAGGAAGGTGTGTTTGTCAAGGACAGAGGACAGAACATATTTTATTTAGCAGTGTGTTAGTTTGATTTATAACTTGTAAATACTGAGACATGAGGCGTGTGGGCCTCCACTGTGCTTCTGCCCCCAAGTGCTACCCAGAGGAGCAGCCTTCCAGAGCTCTATCAGCTTCCAGCAGGTTGGCCCAGGGGAATCCCGCAGGCTTCCCGCAGAGCTCCCTGACCCCACTCGTGCGCCCTCAGTGTCCGTCCAGTCCCTTGGTCTTTGTCTGAGGGTCCTCCTGCCTCCCCCTTTGAAAGTTCAACCGCAGCCCCCCCTCCTCCAGGAAGCCCTCCCTCCCCGGAGGCGCTGGCTCTCCAGCTTGCCCAGGTGTTATTTGTTTGCAGGGGCACATGGTGGTCTGACTGGCTGGGGGGGCGAGTCTTGTCCCTTTTGCAGGACCAGAAGCTCCTAGAAGCAGGCAGCCGCCGGCAGGAGCGTGTCTGCATTGTTGGGGTTGAATCCCAGCTCTGTGACTTCCTTGCTGTGTGACCTTGGGAGGCGGCTTCGCTGTTCTGAGCCGCTCTCCTCTTCTGAAAACCCCTAATCATCACTGTACCCCTCGCGGCGAGGAGGCGACGTGGAACGGGAGCCCGCGGGCGCGGGAAGGAACGCGGGCGGGCAGGGGTACATCGCTCACTGCTTTTCACGGCCGAGAAAACAAGGCTCGGAGAGGTGGGGCCGCTGGCTCAAGGTCGCACAGCCTGCAGCGGGGCGAGGCCCACGCCCGCGGCTGACCCAGGGCTCGGACCACGGGGCGCTCCGCTCGCCGGGTCTCCGCGGCCCTGGCCACGTGGGGCAGCGGCC